CCATCACGAGTCATCACAAGCTCCGCCCTTTCTGTTTCAGACACCGACTCCCTGAGTCAGGGCAGCTCAGTGGGCAGTTTGGGTTTGGAGGACGACGAGGACAGAAACTCTCTGAAGAACCACTTTGAGACTCTGGCCTCCGGTCTGAGCGAAGGTAAACACCAACATCTTCATCATTGCCATCCTCTGACAGTTACTGAGCTGCTAACATGACCTTTGACCTTCCAGAGAAGTTTGACACAGACCTGAAGACTCTGCAGCCTCCAGATGAAAAGCACTTCCTGAACCCCCGACTCAGCATCTCCACCCGCTTCCTGTCCCGCTTCCAGGACAGAATCAGGTCAGCTTACCCACAATCCACAGTGAAGCCGTGACCTTTGACCTGCAGGGTCACTGCAGGCTTGCAGGTACCACTCGCCTCCGTCACTTCTGACTCCTACGTGACTTTGTGTCCATCTTGTCTCTGCTGCTGTTTCAGGGCGAGCCGAGCTCCGCCTCCCGTCTCCATCCCGACTAGGATCTCTGAGGAGAGCAACATCAGCACCACATCGGTAAATGCACACAAGCCTGTAATGCAGGGGGCGTGTCCACATGAGGAGTGGCGCCTCCGCTCAGCGCTTCTCTTGGATTTCAAACCGAGGCAAACGCCTCATTCCAAATTTTCCTTTCAGTTACAAAACAAATTCATTTTACAGCATTTTCAGGCAACAAATAATGACACGGCACAGTCGACAGTTAGTTTACATGCATGTGGGCGTTTCCAGAGCCCCGCCTCCAACTTGATGCTACAAGAATGCAGCATGAGCTGTGGACACGACCTCTGACCTGTCGGGGCGCGCCTGAGAGCGGCCATGGCTGAGGTTTGTAACGTTGAAGAGGAAACTTGTTTTTCAGGTGAACTCCGAGTCGAGCAGCGACGTCTCATCAGCTGGGCTGACTGGGGGAGAGAACGGGGGAGGAGCAGCGGGAGGAGGAGGTGAGTTTCCTGTCAAAGCTTGAGAAGCATCAGCTGTCGCAGCAGCTCGGTCACATTCTGCGTTTCTGGCTCGATGACTCAGGGAAGGCGACGGCACGCGCTCATCGCTTTGCTCCCAAACAGCTGATTGGTCCTTGCAGTCGCCATGTTTCAGGAAGCAGCTTCAACAAACTGACAGCTGTGAGTAATGACAGGGTTCACCATGGCGACGGCCAATTAAGGAGCAGTGGATGAAGACTCGGATCTGAATCATTCATACAGTCGTTTTACTGAACTTAATGAAATTTGGTAAAATAACCTGACAGGGTCTCACTACAGATGTGGACTCCTGACATTTCAGTGGAAAAATGGAAGAAATCAAAGACATAATTTCATCTTATTGTTCTAATTAAACTTAAGATTTGACAAAATCCGTCTTTAAGACCAAATTTTCAGGTTTATTAGTTTCTGTTTGGATAACATGAAGTTACATTTCTTATTGGAACAAAGAGTAGAACAGACAACAGCTGGCACATCTGCATAAAAGTACAGAAAAGTGATGCTGAGCCCCCAGGAGAGACTGCCCTCTGGTGGTAATTTGGTGCAGTGCAGTCATGACCTCAGTTCATCTACAGTCTAATAGAAAGAGGCGTTTTGTTTTTATTTCTAAAAGCAGTGTTGCCACCTTCTCGTATCGCCCAAAGCCGCTCTTAAGGCTCGTGCTGCGGCGTCCTCAGATGAGGTTTAGAGTCTCAGCTCGTCCGACTTGGAGGTTTGTGGTTGAGCAGGATGTGAGTGTACATCAGATAATGTGTGCACGTTTGCCGCCGATGTTCTCTGACGCTTCCTCTTTGCTCCGCTTTAGTGAGGACGGTCCTGCAGACACACACAGGCGATGCAGAGACGTGAGCTGTGTGAAAGGCAGGCAGAGGTTGATTACAGATTGCAGTTTAGTCTCCAGTCTGAAAATGAAAAGAGCCGGACGTGATGGTTTGAGTTTTGATGCTGCAAAGGTCTTTTTATTTTGTGTTTAATCTAAACTTGTTAAGTTCAGAATAACATTTTTAAAACCACAGGTTTTGTTTCCTAATATGAAAAATGTGAATTAAAAGCAAAGTTAGCTGAAGATCACTGTCACTGCGCCGCGGTCCGATCTGGAGGTGAAGCTGGAAATAATAATGGATGATGTTTAATCAGGTTAGTAATCAAGATTAAAACTGCAAGGATGTGATGGAGAGCTCGGCTGGAGCTGAGCAGCGCCGCGTTCAGTGTTCAGTGCGGTCGCTGCAGCGCCGCGCCGGAGCTCCGTGTTTCTGTCTTCACTCATTTGTTTGATAAAAGTTAACACACTTGTGGTTAAGCAGAGGAAGCACACTCGCACACACGTCACACACTTCCTGTGCTGTAACAGTTAAACAGCTTAAGAGAAGCGACAGAGGCTCCAGGACGTCTCTCTGAGGGACTCCATGTGTTTGTGTGCTCACAGCGAGCTGCCGACAATCAGCCCTCCATAGAAGAGCTTCCTGCAAAATTTCCCATCAGCCCCATCGCCATGGCACACCCCGCAGAAGAAACACGGCGCTGGTCGTCCTGTGCAGAAAGACGTTAGGAGGTGTGTCTGTACGCCGCTGCGGGCACCCGGGTGTTTGTGTGGCGTCTTCCGATTTATTTATTTATTTATTTATTTTGTGCAGCAAATCATGGTTGTGGTGGTGGGAATGTTTAGGGGTCAAAGGTCACAGACGGTGTGTTCACATGAGGTTGTATCTGAAGCCTGGCTGTAACTGTCCTTATCAGTAATCTTCACAGAATCGGGTGACTGTGAAACGATCTTCTCTGAACGGCGCTCAGGGACACCACTTCCTGCTCTGATCGCAGCTCGCTTACATTCTGCTCTCTTCTAACCAATCAGACGTGACCTCCAGGACCATCACGGCCCAAAACAGCTGCAGCGAGGAGGCGGCGGACCAACCGTCGGCTTTTCGGCTCAGATACCTGGGAACCACAGCCAACTCCAGGGCCAAACTGAGCCGGGACTCTCCGGGTTCCACCTCCTCGCCCTCCTCCACGCCCACGCTGGAGGAGAACAAAGAGAACCTCCCCTCTCCAGCAGAGTGCCAGCCTCCAGCCTCCACCCTGCTCTCTGCTAGACAGGACAGCAAACCTGACAACCACCAGGACCAGACCAGCAGGTACCCCCCGGTCCCCCCCACACCAGCTGGGCTTTCCTGTCTTTACTGAACATTTTCCATCAGCCCTGGTTTAAGGTGACTCATTTCTCACACATGTAAAGCAGAGGCGAGGACTCGCAGGAGACGAGCTCTAAAATCGCTTCATTTCACAGTTATTACCACATGAATAAAGACTTCTAGAAGTCTTATAACACTCTCAGCTAGTCCTTTGTTGTTGTTGTACAATGAAACACGTGTCAGATGTGTTCAGACGTAGGACAAAGGCACACATGGCCTGAGTGATGAGGGTCACGCAGACCATGGCTCAGGTGGGTGTGGGGGGAAGCAGCTGTTAGTGAGGCTGCTGGTGTGGGACTGACCTGAGGCACTGATCAGAGGGCGGCGGGTGAGATGCTCTCACTGAACGTCGGTGAGAGCATCCGTTTTGTTTTTTATTGGTTTCTTTATGATAAAAATGGGAATTATCAACCTCGACAAACCCTCTGTCAGCCTGCAGGTGTGGACCACGCCCACTCAGGTGATTTCACAGCTCATAGTTGACAGGTGTAATATCAGCAGCACAGAGGAGACTCTAATCCAGACCCCTGTGGCAACACCCACCACCTGTGAGGTCATCACCTGCCCTGCCTCCATGAAGGAAGAAGCTCGAAGACCAGCTGATCCAGGTAACACACACACACACACACAGGTGATGGCAGCTACATCGTAGCCACAGCTGCGACGCACTGACAGAGGTTACTTTCCTGGTATGAACGCGTCCTTTGACCGTCAGTCTTTTCTCCAGAAGCCGTTCGACTCGTCCATGTGGGCAGCTGCAAATTTCTGTCGAGCTTGCGAGTGTTAATGCCAGAGCGGGGGCTTGTTTCTGGGTCAGCACCCTCTCGGTCCATGATGGATGTTTTACATCATCATGAACATCCTAACCAGTTTCATCCCATCTGAGGGTGACCGTTTCGATGTTCTTCCAGATCTTGGCATTGAAACATCAGAATAACTTGCAGCTGTTCAGAAATGACTCCTAAAGACCTTCCTAACTTGTGTAAATCTGCAGTTGTCCTTCTTAGACCTTCACAATGTTCCCTGGACTTTCTCACTGTTCTGAGTATTGGTCAGTCCCAGAAGTGCCGTCACACAAATCCTTTGTAAGCTGCACCAGTTGTAGTCTGAGCTTTGTCCAGTTAAAATACTTGGGCACCATTCATTGGTCTGACCGTATGTAAATGCTTTGAAAGCTGTATACTGTACAGTCATTTCAGCCTCACGTTTATGCTCCTGGCTGGAAACTTCTGACACAAATATATTTTCTTCCTGATATTGTTACATTTACAGTAATTTTTTCTTTCTTTTTTTTACCCTTTTATCTTTTCTCCTCATATCTTTATGTAACTCATATCTGACCTGTACACCTGCTGCTCTGATGCTTCGTCTTTTTCTGGTCTCATTTAAAGATGTTTCTTTATCAGCTGATTTGCTGCTCTCTGCCCCGCCCACCTCGTCCTCCTCCCCTCTGGTGGAAAGGCTCCGCCCCACTCTCACAGGTAAAGGTAATTTTCTGTAAAGTTGTGATGATGATGATGCTGCTTGGATCGCTGTGTAGCGCCACAGAGGCCATAGCTGCCGTGATGTCACCTGCTGATTTCAAGATGCCGCCCTTTCACCATGACGGGGGGCTGATCTTACTGTGAAACCAAAAGCTCATTGACTAATACTTTGTGATTGACAGACCGTTAGCCAATGAGCATGCCCTGGATAATCCTGACAAAACGCACGACTACAATTCTGAAATTAGTTACTGAACCACAAAGTCGTCAATGGTTTTTTCCCAGAACTGTCCGTTGCATCGCCCTCTGCTGGCTGTTAGAAAGAATACAGCGTATTGTAACGACGCCATGCTTGTGCTTCAGGCTGTAAGAACAGATGTTTGTGTGCAGGTTCGGGAGGAGACGAAGAGTCGGTGAGCGTGCAGTGTCTGCAGATCGCCGCCGAGCTAAGGGCGACGGCGAGACGAGCTGTCCATCTTTACCAGAAGGTTTCTTCTTCACACATTGTTATTAGGATATCAACACTGATGTGAATCGTCACTTTTCTTTGAATCATCATATTTCTTTTTCTTCTTTTGTTGTTTTTCTGAATCGCTGAACGATAATCAAATGTAAAGCGTCACGCAGGCGTTTGTGTTTGTTCGTTAGTGTCCGCCTCACGTTTTCTTTGTTGTTTGTGTTGCAGCTCGGCGCAACGCTCGCTGGCTCGCAGCGACGTCTCCAGGTGTCGTCAGCGATGCTGGAGGCGTTTGACGTAGTTCGCTCTGACATGCAGGAGGTGCTGCGGGAGTCGGGTGGCAGCGTCCCCTGCGGTCAGCTGGAGGACCGCAGGACTGCGTCTCTGCTGGAGACGTACTCTGAGCGGCTGCTGCAGATGGTGGAGGAGAAAATGAAGCGTGTGTGAGCCGATGGTGGATTTGAAATCAGTATTAAACTGTGTGCACCTTGTGTCTGTGTGTGTCTGAGTGTGAATCACTGTCTGTAAATACTTCATGTTTCCTAATAAACGCTGTTTTTACTTTAACTGTGGCCACTGTTTCAATCCGATGGGAATACGAAACTTTATTCATACAGAACCTTTTACAAACAGGTCAGAAATGAACATGAAGGCAAAGGGATGTGAAGATTGATGACATCACATCAAAGAACCATGAGAGCGAGGCGGCCGGCGGGGGGGCGATGCAGCCAGGAGACCTCAGTGAAAACCTTAGAATCATTCAGAGTAGGCAGGAAGTGGGCGCTGCCTACCAGAGCGCTCCTGGTGCTGAGGCCAGAGCTCATCAGTTCTCTGGATTCAGCATGGTTGATGTGAGCCCGGGCCCCTGCAGCAGGCTCCTCCTAATACCTGAACTTCCGTTCTGCACGTGCAGCCCCAGGCTGCCCTGAGACCAGGTGGGACTGAGTCACAGAGCAGCAGCTGGCTGCAGTGACGTAAAACTTTAAAAGCCTTAGAAAAGGGTGCTGACGTCATATCGAGCGGGACTACAAACACACCGGTAGGGCATGTTTGTAGTTCCTTAAGAGCAGAGCGGGCGGTGATTGGCCGAGAGCCACAGAGACGGGCACGCGCCTCCGCCCCGCCCCCAGCAGTGTGAGAAAAGCCCCAAAAGTTAACGACGACAACAAAACAAACCACAGAAGAAGAGGCGTAAACAACAGCAGGAGTGAGCAACATGGCGGCGGTGAGAGGAGCCGGGGTTTCAGAGCGGGGCTGCCTGGAACTTCAGGCCGCTCTGTGAGCCTCTGCCCGCGGCATGAAGCTCTCCGGGCTGCCGGCATCATGGCCGTTGTGACAGCCAACGCCCGCGGAGTGTCCCCGCGGGGGAGCCGGCCTCCGGCACCGGGAGCCGGCGGGAGATCCGAGGAGTCCTGGAAGGGACACATCATCCGAGAGCTGAAGCACCGAGACCTGAGCCAGCACGCCATGTTCCAGAACCTGATCCGCTTCTGTACGACGACCAAGTACAACTTTTATCCCCTTTAAATCCATCACAGGCGGTCTGAGAGCAGCAGTCACCGGGCCGAACATTTAAAAACCCATTAAGTTAGTGTTCAGAGTTACAGTGAGGTTTTACAGGCTGACGCTGAGAAATTACTGCACGAAGAAAGACACTGATCATTTTTGAGTGAGGTTTGGTTCAGAGAAATCAGGGCTTTGTATTGGGGAACCAAGAGGTTTTCATCAAAGGCCAGCAAAAGTAAATATGTTTAAACCAGAACTAACGTCCTCGCATTTGCTCTCGTTACTAATCAGCCTGTTTAACCCTGTACTCGGGAAATGTCACAGAAGGAGCTGCTTTACTTAGGGACAAAAAAGATGGCTTTTTAATAGAGTTTGGTGTAGAGCTGCCCTATGTAGGGAGACGGGATTCCATCTCAGCCAGGTAACTTCAGGGCTAACTCTACTCATCGCCATGGTAACATATACTGCGAGCCATACTTGCTCCAGAGCAGCTTCATGCGACTGCTTGTCCCCACTGCCAGCGATGGGATACGTGAATACAGACAACAGGGAGGGAAAGGTGAGCTTAGCCCCAAACCTCAGACTGCAGTCGGCATTCGTCACCACAGCTCGAAAGAACATTTCATACGTTCAATAATCAGCATTTTTAACACTTTCTTGAAACCAGGCTGAGATTCAGGCTTGTTGATCACGACAACTACACTGTGGTTCAGTTGGACTCTCAGTGACGATGTTTTATATATTTATATTTTTCAGTTATAGCAGCTCTGAAACCAAAAATGGAATTTGTGACGGGCAGAAGTTTGATGAGAGTCGTCCAACCTGTCCCACCAGTCAGACATCCAGTATAATCCTGTTCACCCTCCTGTAAAATCAGATTGTTTTTGAATGGAGTCTGGTTCATTTTATATTTTTATTGTGGTGAGTAGATCATTAACCCCTCTGCTCAGTGTTTTGAACCTCGCCGACATCCACCCTCCTTTCATACTTTGCTGACATTCAGGGACAGGAAGTTGTCGGAACTATTAAACCACACGTCGCCTCACTTCCTCTGCGCAGTGAGTCATGTGTGACAGATAACCAGCCTGCTGCTGGTTTATCATCAGGCCGCACACGCAGAATGAAAAAATGTTAAACATGACAGATTTTGAATGGAGTTTGGCTTCAGTCAATGAAAGCTGGGAAACATAATAAAATTAAGTCATAGTAGAGTAAAAATATCTCAGTGAAAACATGTTGTCCTGGTTTTTTGGTCCTAGCTGTCAGTCAGGTGCTCATCAGGTACAAACCTGGAGCACCTGGTTCCTGCCCCGCCTCCTCTGACCCCCCTTTCTGTCTGCAGACACTCAGCTGCTGGAGAAAACCAGTCTGACCAAAGGACTGCTGAGCAGCGCCGCCAGGTAACTCACTGTGTTTGTACATGTTCAGACATCTTTGTGAGCACAGAACATTGGTATGTTACTACACTGCAGTAGTCACTGGTCCCACAAGGTTTAAGACATTTTTGAGACTCGCATTGTGGTTGTAGTGTCAGGATCACAGGTCATGGTTAGGCATTCATTTTGAATGTTAGGGTAAGTGGCTGGGATGAGATGAGTGAGGTGTCCTCACTAAGATATGAAAACGAGCGTGTGTGTGCTGAGGCTGTGTTTGTTCTGTGTGTGCAGGTGCCCCCCCGCAGGCGGCGCCCCGCTCTCGTCCCTGCAGCAGCAGAGCATCCAGCTGAAGAAGACCACGGGAGAGGTCAGAGCAAACCTGCCCCCCTTTTCAGAGTGATCACATGATCAATTACGGCCAGGGTTAGGGTGACTCAGCCCGCAAAGTCAGCAGTGCTTGCAAAGGTCAGAGGTCATCTGGTGGCCTTCAGGTAGAACGCAGGTTTTTGGGTATTAACGCGTCGTTTTTCCAACCTGGAAACTGCAGTTCCTCTGACGTCCAGCAGAGGCAGCAGTGAGGTAGTCCCCATAGACGTGTTCACAGCCTCAACTCCAACTGGTTGGTCTCTGTAGCCAACTGCCTCCTTCATAGCACCTGTACAAGGAGGACTGTAAGAGCCTAAGAAATGTTTATGTTTTGTGTATTTGTCATGTGGCACAGGTGTTTAGATTTTCCTGCACCTCAGGTGATTGCATGGGGGTGTGTTTGCATGTTATTTACCTGATGCCAGTGTCGCAACAGCGTCGTTGGGTGAGTCTGAGCGTCATTATAGCACATCAGTTGGTACATGCACTATTTGTTTTGATTGAAAGCACAAAGTTTGTTGTTTTCTTTTAAAATAAATAAAATACAAGTGGGGCTCAGTTTGGATTATTGGAGACGCGTCACAGCACAAAAATATACGTTTTGGAGTCACGGAGCTTTCAGATGGTTGGACGCTGTTCTCAGATGAGTTATTTATTTCTGTAACTCGCCTGTTATGGAATAAAGGGGCGTGGCCTATTTGACTGGCAAGTGGATGGTGACGCAGGTGTCTGTAGCTGGAGCTCTGGACCATGTTTGTGCTGCTGTGAGGTTACTGTACTAACAGGCTGTCTGAGAAGGCGGGGCCACAGTTTCGCTGAATAAAATCAAGGATTTTGATTGGATGTCGCTGTGCAGGTTTCACAGCAGGAACCTTTATTAACAGATCCACCGATCGGGGGTTTCAGTTCTCGTCAGTTCGATGCAGATTTATGTCCTGCTCATGAGCAGCAGCAGGTGTTGTTGTTGTGATGAACAGCTGTTCACCTGTTTCCGTGGTCACGCTCAGAGCTCTTTCAGCTCGTTCCTGGCGGCTTGGCTCCTGTTTTTCTTTGAGGCCGTGTGATAAAACACAGCAGACTGTAACCGAGCAACAGCAGCCACTTCTTCCTCTTGTGATAAAGCCGACGAGCAGATGTGATCGGTGTGATAAAAGTGAGAGGAACAGGCAGCCCGAGGGCGGGCAGACCACTTCACCCTGAGCTGCTCCACAAGCTTCGGCCTGCAGGCTGACGATCCACAACAAACGCTCTGAGACCAGGAAGAGACACGTTCACGAGGGGAGGGTCTGGCTGCGGTCCGGCAGCATGGCTGTCGGGGCAGGCAACTTCTTTTAAGCCGTCGTGCACTAATCCCGGTGGACCTGTTTAGACCTCTACTTTTGAATACCAAGTCGGTTGCTGTTTTTGCCTATAGTTTTTAAGGACTAGATTCACCTCTTGAAACCTATTGAATGGACCCAATCTGCCATTTAAAGAAGAAGATGACGCGGGAAAAAGCAGAAGCTTCAGCTAAGCCAGCGGTAGCTTCCAAGAGCTCTGCACCCGCTGACCACGAATATGCAATGGAGATTTCAACACCGTCAGTGAAAAGAAAAACTCCACCTACGCCCACCAAAGCACCCACACCACCTAGCCAGGGTACTGTGTCCCAAAGTGTGGAAACCAACAACTCCATAATAGAAGCCATTAACAAGCTAACAAACAAGATCGATGACTTCGGCGTGCAGCTAAGTAACAACATGATAATGGTGGCTAACATTGCCAAGCTAGCTGAAATGAATGCAGCCGATATAAAAGACTGTAAGGCTAAACTGTCTGGTTTGGAACTTGAAAATCCAGGCTGGAAAGAAAAAAATGACGAAGATACCCGCGACGAAGTTATCGACATCTTGGCTAAGATCGCGCCACATTGGGCTTCTTCACTGGGCAACGCTGTGGACACCGTCTAGGGAAAAAAGAAGTGGGTAGACATTGACAAATAATAGTTCAGTTCACCATGAGGCACTACCGAGACGCTTTCTGAAAACTGACTAAGGATTCCCAGGTGTGCAAGGAGCTAGGCATCTACTTCAAGCAAGATTTCTGCAAACGAGACCGGAGACAGGACGGGAGGCAAGAGCTGCAGTTTGGCCCAAAATGGGCCCAAAATGGGCCAAACACTCAGTCTGGATTCATAAAAGGCCGCTCAATCCATAATAATATCCACCTTGTTTTGGACTTGAGTGACTACAACTACCTAATTGAAAACCAAGGTTTTGTTCTATTTTTAGACTTTTACAAAGCCTTCGACATGATAGAGCATGAATTTATGTTTCAAGC